TGGAAATAAAAAAAGATTTTTTAACAGCAATCTAGCACTCAAAAAAGCATGTGATTCGAATATATACAAGTATAAATATATAGTATGAATCGCAACCAACATGCTAATTAAGCTTTACATGAATATTAAAAACAACGCATATCCCATATAAAAAATGGTTAACTCCATGAAGTTGTAAACTTATATGCAACAGTTTGTTCCTTTTGTCTCATGCAGATGCAATAATGAGCATTATAGTAGAGTTTGTATGGCTGGAAAAAGAGATAGAGAAGCCTTCTTTCCTCCCTGTGAAGTGAAAGATGAAGAAAATGTTTAACCTTGAGGTAAAGAAATCAGACAAGCAATTAGTACATTTGTTATTTATAGTGGTGTACATGGATAAACTGAATTCTATATTTACCTAATAACACACCTCTCATTGATTTAGCTAATTAACAGTATATCTTTGTTGTTTATTATTACGAACTGTGAAACTAAAACTATAGTTAATTACAGATTAAGAAAAACTATAAGATTTGTAAAATTATTAAAACAAAAAATACTTTTGTTTGATTTAAAACGTAAAATACGGAAATTAACATGCCTTTTTTCAAGATAACTTTTTCCAGTAGTTTAATGCGTAGAAGCACTAAATACTTTCAATTTATTAAAAAAATATTCTTTCTGGTTACTTTAATTAAAAATCTGATGTGTACACCACATGACTTCCTTGTACGGAATATTAAATTATACGCATTTTTTCTTGCATTTCGTTTAAACTTATTGAATTTAATTAAATCTACTTCGCCGACAGCGCATAAACCACAATAGAATAAATGCATTCTTTAAAATTCACTCTATTTGTTTACCATAGCGACACTCTGGCGCTAGGTTCACTTAACAGTATTACATTTCGTTCATATTATAACTCAGAATGCACAAAATTTATATCATTTAAAGAATTATCTAATCGTTGCCACATGTTCTATTTAAATACTATAATAAAGCTAGAACGATGTATAAAAGAAATTAAGCAAACAAAACAAAAAAGAAACAGTTTTTCACAGACGATTGAGTATTTCTCATTTAATTAAATCAGTTCTCACTTCGCAACAAGGCAAAAATACATAAAACCTCAAAATATATGTATTAAAAATTACTAATTATTAAAAATTAAATTATTAAAAATTAAGTAAATCTTAAACACTTATTTCCTCGAAAAAATTCCAGAAAGGATTAAGCATGATTTAATTCGCAATAATAAATGAAGGCGTTATCTTTGTTGTTGCGAAGCTACGTTTCTCTAGATTGGCAACAAATCCACTACTCTGCTGTTTCAAATTTAAACAAGCAATGGCCCCCATCAAAAACATTATTAGGCTTAGCGGCACTTAAACAACTTTAAAACTGTTGATAATTCTAAAAATATTGCATACAGATTTACTAAAGGCATAAAAACCTTAACCGGAAGATAAGAGCAACATAATTCAATCATTCTTAAAGCAAGAAATGTACAATTTACAAATATATAAGAGTAAAAAAACTGAGATCACTGAGCCGGGTAACAGAGTAGATATATATATAAATATATTTACATACGTTTGGCGCGACCGATTACAACCAAAATACGAGGTGCACATCTACATGTTATAGTAGTCCTATATACAAAATTTCAACGTTCTGAGTTATGCGGTTTTGAGTTATGCGAGATACGTACGTACGTACGTACAGACGCCACGAAAAATTCTCTTCAGAATTCATTTTAAAGCAGTTTTATAATTTTTTTGGAGGAAAAGAGTCTTTTATTCTGTCCTTACGTAGAGATATCACGCAAAAACATCGTTAAATTGCATTCGAAAGCGGTCAAAATGGATATTTTCGTTCAAATATGCTGCCTGAAGCTTTTCGCGATTACAATACTTCCTTTTTACTTCGTACAAGGAATTAAAAAATAATCATACAACAAAGCGAACCCGGATTTTAAAATTTAGTTATGATTGATATTCAAAATTATATGCTTTTAAAGCATTTAAAATGATGCATAAAAATGTTTCATTTTCTTATTCCAAACAGTTTGCCATATAAATACAAAAAAAAAAAAAATGTACTTGAAACGTTTCAGTCACTGAAAATAACTGATAATAAGTCAACGTAAAATATGTGCAGTTTTTATCCTTGAAAATTATATAAGGGAAATTTGATTAAATTTTATCTTTAATTAAAACTTTAGAAAGTACAAGAAAAATTAGTCGCTTCAAAGTTGCTAGGCAAAGAATTCCGACGACAAAGAATCAGGAAATATAAATTTAATCAAGAAATATTCATTTTTATTTCGCTACAGAGTCCATAAATTAAAATATTCTAAAAATTAAGAAACACGAAAAAAAAAAAAAAAAAAAAAAAACATTAAAAATTGCCTTAGGAAGTTGGTCACTGTAAGTTCAATAAGTAACTACGAAATTTTCGAATAAAATGTATATGAAGAATTAAATAATACTTTTAAAGTGCTAATAAGAAAAGTCTAAACCTAAAAATAAATGTAAGCAATCCAATTTAAAGCGACCACTCAAAATTCGATATCTTTTTAATCTTGTGTGGATGTGGTGAAATTGCGTAATGATTAAAACCTATGTTTATTATTCTCAAAAACATTGTTCGTCTTAGGGAGATAGTCACCAAGAGGGCTCACTGCAAGTATACATTATTTCTTTAAAAAAAAAAAAAAGCTGTGTGAAGATTTTTGTGATTTTCCTGAAGTGTAATATGCATATGAACTAGTTCCTGAGAATGTACTCCACAAAGGAATCCCACCCCTTAAGCAGATAGCCGTAGTGTGCTTTGGCATAATCTAATAAATCCAAACACTACTGAAATATTATATAGCTGACTTTCATCATAACTAGCAAATCGACATTTAAGTAACTGACTGCAAGCTGTGCATGAAAATTTTAATGTCACTTTAAGAATAAAGTGAAACAAAACAAGAAATAATTTTCACTATAAGAATATTAGATTAAAACAAAAGTGAAGAATATAATCTCATAATTAAGTTAACAATTTTCTTATATTTAAGGTCATGCAGTTACTTTCCTTTTTCTAATCTTTCTTAGATTATACTTTTCATGAAAAATTACCAGTAAAAACTTTATAAAAAATGATTTATTAATGACCTTTGTTAGTTAACTATGTCGGTTTAAAATTCTATTAAGTGCTATAAGTTGCATTAATTTTCTATGCTTAAGTTTCCTTCTTACTTTACCAGCAAAAATTTATTAGTGAATAAAAAATATGAAAGTAAAAATTATTCTTCTTTCCATCTTGGCGCCCACAAATCATCATGAGAATACCCATTTACAATTATTAAAGCTTGAAAAAAGTGTGTCTGCGATGTTATGGTCATGCGATGATTTGTAGATACTTTATTTTTTACCACGATATTTTCGACCGCGATGATTTTAAACTGCGAAGTTTTTGAACCGCTTTATTTTCGACGACGATATTTTGTACTACGATGTTTTAGAACTGCGATGTTTTCTCTTTGCGACGTTTTCTCCCACGATGTTTTGTAGCACGACGTTTTCGCCTTGCGTTGTTTTCTCCGCGACGTTTTCGTCCGCGGTGTTTTTGCCGCGATGTTATCGGCGGACACCCAGGCGTACTAACTTACATTTCGAAATCCGGTTCCGATAACAGAAGAGTACGAAAAAAAGTTGGAATTATCTACTTATCTTCATCTGCCATTCTTTATCTGCCATTTTACATAAAAATGTTCCTTAACAAATTCCATTTATTTTTATTTAGTATTAGTTAGTTTCTGGAATATCTTCAATTAATAAGAGATTATAAAATTGTAAAATGTTAATTTTATTAAGTTAAATGTCTTTACTTAGTTTACTTGTAAGCATATGCATCAAATACTTTTACTTAAACACACATCAGTTAAACTTCTTCAAGTGCATGCACGTATTGAGAGGTTAGATGAATTTCAAACCGGAATATACTTATTGAAGTATTAGCATAATTTCAAACCGGTTCAGTTACCGGTGAATTATTAAAATATGTAATTGCATAGAATTTTTTACAATCTATCTTTTTTTTAGTAAAAATATAACTCGTTTCTTTTTAAATTCCTTTCGCAAAAAACAGGCTAGTTTTTTTTATTCGCCCAGAAGGGCTATTAGTCTTGAAACTGTATTTTGCGTGGAATAACTGAAAGCACTGAATTTCTTTTCAAACTGTTGCAAGCAAATATTATCGCCTTGTATTATATTTAAAGAAATTAAATAATGAAAAATCTGCATGAACGTATGTATGCTTCTTGCATTGTGAAATAGCAACGATACCTTAAGCCATCAAATTCTGAATAACGTAGTCCTCTACCCAAACATGGACACCTGGAGACCTGAATTTTGAATTTCAATTTTATTTTATTATTTACTTCATGTTATACACAACCTTAACGAATTTTTGATTAAAAACCTCAAAGATTTCAAAGGGAGCATTGGCAGCACATTACGAAAATCTTCATCTCCAGCACGCGAGACTGTCCACTGGAAATTCTAAGAATGTACTGTTTTCAAATATTTTTAGCCCAGATGCTCTCGAAACAGCTCTGGAAACGTGTATGTTTGTGTAAATCAAAAACGTCGCTTTGAAAACGTATCATAAAATCTAAAAGCTTTCATATTTTTTATGCTTCATTTATCTTAATTTATGAATAAAGAAACTAACAGCATTCTCTGACAGAGGTTAAAAACCTTCCTCCTAAAATTTAAATTAAATATAATAATGATTTGATTTTAACTACATTTAGCAGAAATTCTTTCTTTGCAAGTATCTTTATTTATCGGATTTCTAGACCTAAATCAAGACTATGCTTGAGTTTATAAATCTACACTCCCTTTCATCAACTGCGGTTCTTAAAAATCTGAGGTGTTAGTACTATGATGAATACCAACCCAAAATTTAATAACATCCAACTGAGGAAGAGAAATGAATAATTTTTCTCTTTCTAGGAATTCGAATATCTTTGACAATATGATCAACATCATGGAGAAATACGCGTACAACCTTGAAAGCGTAGTGAAAGAACGAACGAATCAACTGCTTGAGGAAAAAAAGAAGACAGAGAACTTACTGTTGAGAATGCTTCCAAAGTAAGTTTTTAGAGTAAAATGCAGAATTATTTAAATGCAATATATTTTTATTCATTTAAAAAACAGATTCTTTTAATTAGTCACATTCAAATACGAATTACTATCTGCGTAATGACGATCTAAATGACTTTGTTGATTTAAAAATTCAGAGAGGGGGGACTTTTTTTTTTTTTTTTTTTTTTTTTTTTTGGTAGCCGTAGGATTTTATTTAAAACTTGATTAATTAATAGAGAAGGTTGCTATCGATTGGACGCTTTTACAAAAGGATCCTTAAAAGTCAGATTTGGCATACACCACCCCCCCCCACCCCACACCCCCCCCCCCCACCCCCCCCCCACCCCCCCACCCCACCCCCCCCCCCCCCCCCCCCACCCCCCCCCGACCCCCCCCCCCCACCCCCCCCCCCCCCCCCACCCCACCCCCCCCCCCCCCCCCCCCCCCCGGCACACCCCCCCCCCCCCACCCCCCCCCCCCACCCCTTTTTTTTTCCCCCCCCCCCCCCCCCCCCACCCCCCCCCCCCCCACCCCCCCCCCACCCCCCCCCCCCCCCCCCGGACTTTTTTTTTTTTTTTTTCAGAAGCGATTTAAGAGGCATTGCTTAATAAAAACTAATAGAGGAAGGTTGCTATCGATTGGACGCTTTTACAAAAGGATCCTTAAAATCGTCAGATTTGGCAGTTTACATGTTTTTACATCTTAATGTAAATATTATTTTCCAATCCACCTCTTAATATTTATAAACTTGTCAGGAAGTTTGCTTGAAAATGCGCTAGTGAACTTTAAAGACCAGGAAAAAACGTAATGTCAGTACGTTCTTTTCCTGTTTTATAAGTAACATAGTAACGAAACAAAAATCCACCCTGAAATTTATGAGAACATGCGCTGTTATGCTGCATAAAATGTGGTTCACATAATGTAAAAACATGCTATTCTCACGCTGTTGTGTTGTATCAGTTCAATCTAAGTGACTTAATAGGATGCATCTTTATTATAAATATTCCCTTTACTCTTTTGTGCACTAGAGGCAACAAAATAGCCCGCTGAGAACCCGCTTGAGGATTTCGGTATGCAGTCAAATAATTCGGAGATTAATTTGGTCTTCCGAATAACAAGTAAATTTTTGCTTCAGGATAACCAGCATAAGGAGGCAATGATTTCCGCTAAAAACTAGATAGCTAAGAAAAGACAGCTTGCCGTATCTGTCTCTGGTTTCCAAGATGTCTGTGATAAATATAGCAGCATAATTTCACATTGGCCTCAAAACTGTTTTCTGTTGGCAAGAGATTGCGCAAATGTTGGCCAACTTGTTATTAAAGACATCGCAACGGTACACAGAACACAAAGCCTGGACAACAAAACAAAGAAATATGATACTATTTATTGATAAGAATAAATTTCATTTTATCAGAGTTTCTACGTCAGCTGATTATACGAAAATAGAATACAGTATTAAAGGATGATGTGTGGTCCATGTTGGTATCGTTCAAAACTTTTTTATGCTAAATGTATGTAAGGTGCTCAAAACTGGAAGGAGAACCTGCAACCCGTTAGGGATACAGTAATGATGTAATTCTTTCTCGTGTTTTCATCTAAGCTTCTGTGGATTCTAGTTTCTGCTTATAAACCACAGTGTCATTAATTAACCTCAGATTCTACCAAATTTGGTCTCTATCAAACTAGTATATAAGTTATTTTTCTCAATAAAACTGTAATATATTTATCGAAGTCATTTCTCCTAAAATTATCAAATTAGTCTCTGATTTCAGGCCTATAGCATTTAAATCATAGAAGAGTAATTAATACACCGATTGTGAAATGCTTTTATTATAATAAAGAAATTACGTGATTGACTCAGATTTTCTGATTAAATCTGAATAAATATACTGATTCTTATATTGCAAATTTTACATGTTTTAAAGTATGTAACTCAAAAATATGCGAGTTTTTTTTAAATAACAAACATTTTACCACAACTAAAACGTTTAAAGACAGACTACCTCTAAGCAAAGCCGACATTTCTTAAATAATCCTGTACTATGATCCCTAAATAAACTGAGATACATCTGTTTTTATTAACAAAGTCAATCAAAATTTCGGGTCAGAATACACTGACTTCTCATCCTTTTCTTAGGAACTTATTCTAATCTTTACTGTACGCTGTTAGCATATCTACGGTCAGATCCAATCATAAATTCAGCATACCTAGACTAGAAGAAAAACACGCTAATGTGACAATCAAAATCGTAAAAACAACCTTGTATTTAGCGCAAGTATAATGAAACACTTAATCGATTTCGAGGGTAGCTAAAGGTCCCTCCTCATCAGGAGAAAGAAATACCTAGAAAGAAGAAAATAAAGGAGAAGGAGTCTCAGAAACACGTGGTCCTTATCAGCACTGCACGTGGTTATAACTGGATTTTTAATCAGAGTTGCACTGGCCACCTACTTTTACTGAGCCCGGCTATCTGATCGAGCATAAAGGAAAAGAAAAATTAGTGAAGTTAAAATAGGGAGCGACGGGCAAATGCACCTTCACGCTCAAAATCTGAACTTCAAATAATGGAAAGCTTAGACTTTGAACGGATTTTTATACCCTCTGGTAGTACCAAACGCGAGGAGGTAAGCGAGGAGGTATTCTTGGTGATTTCAAATTATTAGTAGGTGGAATAAGTGAAATCTCTTATGCCACCTATTACTAATTGCGCTAGGCTTTATGCTCTTCCAAAAGTCCACAAAACCGGTATTCCTTTTCGACCAATTGTTTCCAACATAGATACTGCTTCATATCCTTTGGCCAAATATTTAGTTTCCAGATTTTCTTCTCTACTTGCTAACAATATTCACAGTGTAAAAAATTCTCTTGTCATTGATAAACTTAAAAATATTTCTCCACTTCCTTCCATTATGGTTTCATTTGATGTCAAATCACTGTTTACTAATGTTCCGGTCGAAGGAGCACTTAATTGCCTTGAAACTAGGCTTCGGGAATTTCACTTCACACATACAGTCCGGTATTTGCTGACATTTATATGCACTATTTTGAGATGAAATTATTTGATAAACTATCTTTTCGTCTTTGGATTCGGTATGTTGAGGACACTTTCGCACTTTTTGACGGTTATAAAGAGGATTTATCCGAGATTCTATCTATTATGAATTCAATTGATCCAGCCATCCAATTCACTCTTGAAATTGAATCCAACAATTCCCTCCCCTTCGTTGATATTCTTATAATTCGCAATGAAACTGATTTTAGCACCACTGTGTACCGTAAACCCTTTGCAGTTTGTTTACCACCCCATGCCAAGTCATGCCACCCTGTTTAAGCAAAAAATGGCTTCTTTTTACTATTATGTATTCCGCGCGCTTAAAGTTTGTTCCTCTGAATCTTTGCTTACCAATGAACTTAATTATTTGAGAGCAGTTGCGATTGACCGTGGATTTTCTCCCGTGATTATTGATAAAGCCGTTAAAAGAAAAAAAAAAGAAAAAAAAAATTCAGATTCCCATCAAAGAAGACATTCCACTGTTAGAAATAATATTAATGACCTTGTCGTGCTTCCATTTTATCCTTCTGTTAGCTATAAAATTGCACGGATTCTCCAGAAATTCAATTTTCAAGTCGGTTTCTCCCCTATTAATAAAACTGAACCTTCGATTCTAAAAGATTGCGTTTCTGTCTTGAATTCTTGGGGAATTTATAGTATATTGTGTCAGTGTGGTTTAAGATATATTGGCCAAACAAAAAGAGCGTTGAAGTTTCGTATCAAGGAACACGAATCTTATGTCAGAAAAGGCGAAATTAACAAGTCTTCAATAGCGTATTATAGTTGGACATTTAACCATAATTTTGACTTTGGGTCTGCAAAAATTATCCAAAAGGCTTCTTCCATGGGTGAATTGGATTTTCTTGAGGCTTTTCACATTCACAAAGATTTAGCAGGTTTAGTTAATGATTTGAAGTCCAATCCAGTCCTTCCGAATGCCTTTAAAATTCTACTATCTTATTTCAGTTATTTTTGCCGATAGATGGCGTTACCTCCTCGCGTTTGGTACTACCAGAGGGTATAAAAATCCGTTCAAAGTCTAAGCTTTCCATTATTTGAAGTTCAGATTTTGAGCGTGAAGGTGCATTTGCCCGTCGCTCCCTATTTTAACTTCACTAATTTTTCTTGTCCTTTATGCTTGATCAGATAGCCTGGCTCAGTAAAAGTAGGCGGCCAGTGCACTCTGATTAAAAATCCAGTTATAACCACGTGCAGTGCTGATAAGGACCATGTGTTTCTGAGACTGCTTCTCCTTTATTTACTTCTTTCTAGTTATTTCTTTCTCCTGATGAGGAGGGACCTTTAGCTGCCCTCGAAATCGATTGAGTGTTTCAGTATACTTACGCTAAATACAGGGTTGTTTTTACGATTTTGATTTTCAGCATACCTCTTTGCAACAAACAAAACAAGAATAAGTAACACAACACATTAAAACATTCAAGCAATGAAACAGCCATTATATATCTTATAACTCATCATAAATTGTTTTTTACCTTCATGACTGGCATAATATAACTTTATATTTGGTTTTATGTTTTATGTTGCTTTGTTTTATAAATGTAGCCTGACTGGTATAAAATAATTTTATAATTGCATTTGCAAATAAAAAAATTTTGTCTTTTAAATACGAATACTAATACGAAATGCATTTGTAGACCTGTTGCGGAGCAGCTGTTAAGAGGTGAGAAGGTAGAGGCGGAAAGTTTTGATTCTGTTACTATCTACTTCAGTGATATTGTAGGATTCACCTCCCTCTCAGCAATTAGTACACCACTGCAAGTGAGTCTACTTCATTTTTAAAACCATATTTCCTAGATTAACCGTCTGAGAACCTAGATTAACCTTCTAAGATTATATGCTCTAGCATTCATTAAAATCTTCTAATGAAGTTTTCTTGTAGGTTAATCATCTTATTCTAAAAATCTTTATTGTAAATTCTTTTGAAAATTTCAAGTTTCTATAGCTCATAATTTTTATTGAAAAAGTTATTTTTTGCTACTGTTACAATTTTGAACATATATAAACAGTTTTAGTGAAATTATATGTGGAATTGTTGTATTTTCTTGTATAATATAACACGAAAATCCGAAGAAGCGATACTTTGCCAGAAAAGAAAGAGTACATGAGCAAGTCTATTTAGCATTGAGTAAATGGCTCTCTTGCTAAATTGGTAAGATATCGCAATGCTGCCGATGGTTTTGGCGACTAATTTGTTTCACCAAATCTTGCAAAAAAATTGCCAAAAGTCGCTGAATTTGGCGTCATTTTAGTCTGGCTCTTGTATAACTGTAATGGGTATTGTAATTGAATAATTGTAACGGGTATTGGAATTGAATAACTGTAATTAATCTATATGTGCAGCTATAACCTCATCCAAGAAGATCTAGAAAAAGCTCTACTGCTATGGTTCCAGCAGGTTAGATATTGAAATTTTCCGATAAATGGACTCCTACTGCAGAAGCTGATTAATTGGCAAGTCGAGTGGGTATTGAAGATTTCAAATGTAGTGATGGATGGCTTTTTCGATTTAAGTCAAGACACAATACGCTCACTTCTAAACGTTAAGCACGGAGAGGAAAATTCTAATTTCCCGAAGCCAATCAGAATTGAAGAGGATGCAGAAGTAGTTGAAAGTATGCCAATATGTTAGGTAACAGCCAATCTCGCTTTCATGTCAAGAAATATGGGAAGAAGCCAGCTTTATGAAGGGTTACAGAAGTTGATTGTAAGTGCTGATAGAAGGCGTTTAAAACTTTCGTACAATTTGTTTTCAAGACATACGTGTCTCTATGACTTCCAGAAGACAAATGGAAGATTCTGAGCGTGCGTTGGTGTGCTGTGGGGCGCATTGAAGCAGGAAAGTCGATCACAGATGTTTCTCTTCTCTTCGGCGTTCATCATTCTGTAATTTCACGTTTGTGGAAACAATTCCAAACCGCGCAGACAGTTGTTCGAAGACCCATAGCCGTCGCCCAAGGGTTACAACCCCCGCGGCCAGCATATTCGTCCGACCTTAATCCCATTGAAAATCTTTGGGATGCTCTCGGCCGTACGGTATCTTCACGTTTCCCACTCTTATTGAGCTGGAAACTTCTCTACAAGAAGAATGGCGATTGCTTAATTCTGCGGGGGTTGACCACTTAATTGAAAGCATGGTCACAAGGTGTAAACTTTGTATACAGATGAGGGGGGGATCACATACCCTATTAATGCCCTTTTTTCATTTTATGCTGTTTATTTCCACTTTATACATAATTCTGTTTAAGTCTCCAGTATGTCATTATCTGATAACTTACAAAAATTTAATATTGTTTTCACTTCTATATATAATTATTGATTTTGTTTTATGCATAACTATATATGCTACTTTCCTACCAAATTTTGTGTTAATCAAAGGAGTATTTGTTGATTTTTTTGCATTTTACATCTTCGTACTTAACTTTTGGAAGTGAGTGTATCTCTTATCAAATTGTAATGAGGCCAAAGCTCTGACGTAAACGAAGACGTATGCATCAATTTCGGTAGGAAACTGCCAGACTTTTCTCTACTTACCTACCAAAACATATTTTAAATGCGGACGAAACAGCATTTTTTAATAAAATCTTGCGAAACAAGAGATTACATTTTAAGAAGGATGCTTGCGTAGGAGGTAAAAGCAGTAAACAGAGGATTACAGCTTAATTTGTGCTGATATGTATGGGAACGAAAAGCTTAAATAATTAGTGATTGGAGTCCAGAATCCTCTATGTTTTAAAGGAATTCGAACACTGCCAGTTGATTATGTAACCAATATAAAAACATGGATGAAACGAGATATCTTCAGTAACTGGTTAAAAGGAATAGATAAGCAGTTTTCGAGGGAAAAGTGTAAAATTTTCTTATTTGTGGATAACGCAACCTGCCAAAATAACCCTCCAGAGCTCGGTCCTATACAGGTTGAATATTTGCCGCCAAACACAACTGCGAAGCTACAACCAATGGATCAAGGAATCTTACAGAATCTTAATTTGTGCTGATATCGATAAATTATCGTAATAGACTCTTACAACAGATCACCTTTTCTTTATATTGCAGTGAAAACTACGACATTAGTGTGCTGACAGCTGTAAATGATCTATACGCCGCATGGGGTGCTGTTAAAGAAAGCACAATTAGTAATTGCTTTCGTCGTGCTAAATTCATACACACCGAAGAGAACAAACGTATCGAAGAGTGTGACGATATTGATACAGTTTTACTGAATTAAAAAAAATTAAGTGAGATGACGCTACTTTTTCTGATTATGTAAGGGTAAATGAAGATTTAGAAGTCTGTGAAAAACCGAGCGATGACGATATAATAAAAACTTACCAATAAGATGAAAAAGAAGAGACCTTATCGGATTCAAAAAAGAATGCACAGACTGTTAAGCGACCTAATGATCAAATTCTGAAAGCATTTATTCAGATTCTTCTGGAAATGAATTGAAATGTTTACTTGAAATCGATAAGCTGGCTGAAAAATGTAGGCATAAATAAACAAAACCAAACTTTACAGTTTTTCCCAAAAGTGTAATTAATATTTTTAATTAAAATTTACTTTCTACACTGACTACCAATAAGTATTTGGACACCTATGCAAATGAGGATGTCTGCGGTCCTAAGGTACGTCACGGACTCCGCTGGTATTTATCGTATAGGAAACAGCATCGGCTTTAATCGCATGCAAGATGACTCGCAGTTCGGAGCTCTCTGATTTCTAGAAAGGTATAATTATCGGGTATCACAAATGTTGCCGATCCTTAAGGGACATATCTAGCGATCTGAAGTACCCAAAATCGACAGTGGCCTATGTGATTAAGAGGTGGAAGGTGAGAGGTAATTGTCGGAATGTGCCCGGAGTCGGCAGACCAACAAAACTGGGAGATAGAGACCGACAAGTGCTGTCCAGAGAAATTCGGAAGAACCGCACCCAACCGATGGCTCTCATCCGCGAGGAGTTTCAACAGGCATCCGGGAGTATTGTTTCAAAGAATACCATCCGTAAGGAAGCACATCTGCTTGGTTTTCATGGTCGTGCTACTGCCCATAAGCCTTTGATCACAACAAGTCCAACCGCGCTGCTCGGTTAATGTGGTGCAAAGCACATCGAAATTGGATCGTAGATCAGTGGAAACGGGTTCTTTGGAGTGACGAATCAAGGTTCACCCTTTACCGTTCGGATGTCAGGGTCTGGGTCTGGCGTCTACCTGGAGAACGTCTCCTGCCAGAATGCATTGTGCCAACAGACAAGTTCGGCGGAGGTGGAATTATGGTCTGGGGGTGTTTCTCCTGGTATGGGCTGGGACCCTTGGTCCCCATTCATGTTAAGCTCAACTCCGATGCCTACTGCACTATTTTGAACAATGTGCTTCCTACGTTGGGGCAGTTTTAGGGATTGCACCCCTGTTACTTTCAGGACGACAATGCCAGTTGTCATGTTTCGACGTTAACCAAGGCTTGTTATGGTGCCAATGGAGTTCATCGAATGGACTGGCCTGTCCAGACCTGAACTCTATAGAGAACCTCTGGGACGAGTTGCATCGCCGAATTCAGGGGTGCTGTACCCGTGCAAAATCGGTGAAGGAATTTTTATGTCTTCTCCAAGCCGAGTGGAAGAAAATACCACTAGCTGTCATACAAAGATCTGTGGAAAGTATGCCCCGGAGGGTCCACGCTGTAATTACCTCTCGTGGAGGCTCTACCAACTATTGATTTTGAATAAAGTTAGTTTTTCTTTTCTATCACAGGTGTCCAAATACTTATTGGTAGTCAATGTACTGCATATATTCTGCTTCATTTTGTGATTAATGTAAGTATTTATTGCTTTTTAATAAGTTTAATTTTTATATAACACAGTATAATATATTTTCTGGAATTATACATATTAGGAGATTTTTCTTCTTCAATGATAGACTTTTAAAGTTATATTTTCTTTTAATATCGGATAATTCGAACTGTTTTCTGAGAACCTTTGAGATAGAGCTAACGAACATGCACGGTATATAAGACTGCAGAGAAGATCAGTTTGGATGTAGTAGTAGTTAGTTCAGAGCTGAATGCGGAGATAATCGCGACAGCTTTGCCTTTTAGACACGATTTGCATTCATTGTACTGTGTTTAGCGCTTTTAGTAGTTTGAAATTTTACTACTGATTTTACTCTGTGATACTGTGAACAACTATTCGACTATTTTTGTGGAAAATTACAGAACTGCGAAGTATTTCTTTTCTTAAAATAAATTTTATTAGGCTATCAACGGTTCTGTGTGTATTCAGTCTCTTATGAACCCGTACCAACGCAACACAACTAAATTATGCAGATTGTTTATTAAGATTTTTATAAGTTTCATCTTTTAGGAACAAACATTGCACACATAGGTATAAAATTTAAGGACTCGAAAATTATTATTAATTCATCTGAAAATTAGAAATACAACTTCCTTCTAATATTGAATGACTTATGCTTAACAGAGATAGTGTAATACGTAGAATAAGTACGGTTGAAGAGTATTTGTGTTATTAGAGGAAATTTGATTTAAATTAATTATTGGCAGTTTTTTTACAGCTGCATGAGAATTCATATTCAAAAAAGATTGAACAGAAGGAAAAATAGTCTGACAAAAGCATAAACTTAATATAGTTTACGCTTTCTTGTTACAATTTGTTTTTTTCCTTCCAGTAGTGTAAAAAAGTGTTCCACTGCTCTAAAAAATTAGTACATTTCAAAAATATTTTCCAACATCATCTCGCGTGTTATGGCAAAACAAACCAATTTGGATAAATCAGGTTACGGCTGAGAACGATTTGTTAAAATTGAAGTTATTATATTATAACAATGAAAAATATAGTAAATTCTAAAAACATAGATTATCAGCAGTGGCGTCGCGATGGAGGGACAAGGGGGGACATCTGTCTCCGGGCGTAGCATTCAGGGGGCGCCAAACTTATGTTACGAAATTTTAGAATGCAATGTTTCCCATTCTTGGCAGACAGAAAAGGGCAAAAACTCTTAATTTGTCCCCGGGCTCTGAAAACCCTAGTTACGCCTCTGCTTATCAGAACAAACGTTCTTTATGCAATTTTAAATATTCTAGATATGTTTAAAGCTATTTTCAATACCTTTGTATTTTCTAGTCTCATTTTTATTCGATTAAATTCTGATTTCCAACAAGGATTGAAGTGCTTACTTGCTCTTCCAGATTTATTTCCGCAATCTTACATCCGATATCTTTTTAGGACAATTTATCTAATTAATTTATAATTTCTACAATAATAAATACCGAAAAACGGCAACTTTTTCTCTCAAGCATGCTTTTCAATAATTTTATTCAATTTTAACAATAGCATCTTTAAACAAATACAGGGAATTCCAATGGGAGGTAATTTTTCAAGTTCTGTCTGTGAATTATTCCTTTTTACAAAAGAATTGACCTTTGTCCGTTCACTCAGTAAAGAAGAACATAAATTTTACCAACACATCTATCGATATATTGATGATGTCATTGCCTTTAACAACTACAACAAAATAGAAGTTGCTAATATCTACCCTACATACTTAAAACTAAATAATACAACTACGGTGCAACATAATGTAGTCTACCTTGATTTTACATATTATTGAATACAATTTAATAAAAGTTTACGACAAAAGAAGAGAATTCAATTTTTCAACACTAAAATTAACCAACTAGAATTCAAATATTTCCAAAAGAGTCATCCTAAACGCTATCTATTCACAGCTACTTAGAATAAAAAGAATTTGTAATATAACAAAACACCTTCAAGAAGCTTCGTGATAATTTTGAAAAATAACCTAATTCCTCAAAAAATAATTAAAAATACCTTAAAAAAGCTGGCATTAGCCTTACCAACTTTTTGATTTTTTGAGTTAGATAATGATATTTTATACTTAAAGCCCAATGGAACGGTATAAAGTGGATGGCTGATTCTGAGAATCTAATGTAAAAATGTACAGATAATTCTTCTCACTACGATTACTTTCCTCCTAAAAAAAATTTTTGGCACAATACTTTTAATACTATTTTTAAATAGTTCTAAATTACTTTGATGGCCAATTCTCCTCCTGTTATTAACAAACGGGCCTTTTCGTTTTTCACTGAAGCTTGATCGCCCTCTAGCTTGAAAAATTACGACTTTTATTAACAAATGACTGTTTTTTCCATTTTACTCTTACTTTTGTGGCCATGTTAAGTAATTTTAGCTGATTTAGCCATTTTCAAGTTATGAAACAGTTCTTATTCTTAAAACAACTTGACTGACGCCATTTTGAACTTTTTCCACGTCTTTCCAAGTCTGTCGACCCTCCTTTAGTTTTGGGGGCGAGTTCCCGCCAACGGACAGTCTTTTCACATTGGCTGTTGCTCAGTGACTTTGTTTCCCCCTTCTGACGTCACACGGCGAGTAGGAGAGCAATGAAAACACAGGGGGGAATTACAACTCCTTTCAATTTATGCTTCACGATAGAGAACACTGCATAACTACAGGTCTGTTTTTTATGTTTCTTTTACAAAAAAATTTCTTTATCTTAGCAAGACCCACCCTGTTAGATTTCATTTAAATTTAATTTCAAATTTCTAATATTTATAAAGGTTTAATTCTTTAAGCTTGTAGGTCCAGCCCATACGTTATTGTATATTTTGACTAATAGCAGACCGCTATTTATTATTATTTTTATTATTGCTTTACATCGGAGTTGCATTTCCATTTTTTACACCTTAATGTGTCATTTTATGCGGATGCGTCGGGAAACTGGAACAGAGAATTGAGACTAAAAAACTTTTTAGGGCAGTTTATCTAATTAATCAAAAATTTCGTAACGCAAAAGTTTCAATTGTCTGTTCCGGCGAAACGCGTAATGGAGTTAGCTTGGTTCGACGTTTAACCAGAAATTTCCCTTGAAAAGCCAGATTGGACCTCGAATTGAGCTAATTTACCATTTTCCGCTTTGTAATTTTTATATGTTTTTATTTGTTTTATTTGTTTTAACTTGTTCCATCGATAGGTTTTTTATATGTTTTAATGTGTCACACATTGGTTATTTTACTGTATTTTTTGCCTTTACTGTATCCAACGATTAGTATTTACTGTGTTTTATAATTTACATTTTATCTCGCGTGTAGCTAATTTTTCACCCTTCAATGTCTTGTTTTTTATAAAACTGTGTTGAACCTTTTCTTGGAGCCACAGCTCCTGTAACTTTTTGGCGAGCTGCTACAATTTCTCTTCTAATTCTTTAATTTTGGCAGCATATTGCGCAAAATTTTTGAACAAATTGGGTCTTTTTGGTATAGTACTTACAACCTAGCTTATTAATTTTAAACATATATCTATATATATATAGAGAGAGAGTCTATATATATGTATAGGCTGCAATAAACGTTATATTACCTGTAAAATAACTTTAATGCACGTTCCAGTTAAACCAAAAAAAAAAAAAAAACCATTTACCCAAATGTTATGTTAGTCCCGAACGTTTCAAATTGTTGCCACCAAATATTATCGCCATGCGTTATTTTTAAAGAAATTAAATAATGAAGAACCTGCATAAATGTATGCAAGTTTCTCTTCTCGAACTGTGAAAAAACAACAGTATCCAGAGCCATGCAATTTCGAATAACGTTGTCTTCCACCCAAACATGGGCACCTGGAAGTCCGACTTTGGAGTTTCGAATTTGTTTTATTATCTATTTCAAATTTTGTAAAACTTTAATGAATTTTTTGTTAACGAATTCAACGCTTTGAAGGCAAGCAGTAGCAGCACTGTACGGAGAAAAATATTTTTATCTGCAGCGCGCGAGACTGTCTGTCGGAAATTCTAAAGACATGCTGTTTTTAAGTATTTTATGATTTTTCTATTGAATCGAATTTTATGTGGCTTATACGCCAATGACGTTATATTTAATAAATAAAGTAAGCATACAAAACATTAATAATAAAAAGATAAAAAAAAGTTTTGTAAAGCCATCTTAGTAAGAAAACTAATCACTGATATGATGAACTGAGAAATGACTAAAAAAAAAGCAGAAAGATGTGTGCCATCATTGAACACTGCGTTGGGAACTCTGAATGTTCATTTCTATGCTGCTTTTAAAACTTCTGTAATTTTGCTGCTGTAACATACTATATATGATGTAATTCATATGATTACGTATATATATATTGACGTATTCAGTATATGATGTAATCACGCACAAGATGATGCTTAATTAAGCTATATTGGCAAAAATTATGGATTAGTAGGAGTGAATAGTAGGAAACTTATTAATAGGAAATTTAACAAACTCTTTTGGGCTTAACAGACCCGTTAAAATCTGAAATTTTTCAGACTTTTATTAGTCCAAAGGGGCAATTTGCCCAGAAGGACTATTAATTTCGTTTTGGCATTTTGTGTTGAGTCACTGAAAACGGCAATATCACTTTTCAAATTGTTGCCACCAAATATTATCGCTCTACGTTATATTTAAAGAAATTGAACAATGAAGAATCTGCATAAATGTATGTATGTTTCTCACATTGTGATAAAACAACGGTACGTAGAGCCAATCAAATTGTTGATTATTGAACGTTTCCACCGGAATATGGGCATCTGGAAGCCTAAATTTGGAATTTCTAATTTGTTTCATTATCTATTTCATATTTTGTGAACCTTTAACGAATTTTTGGTCAACAAACTCAACATGATTTCAAAGCCAAGCCTTGGCAACACTGTACGGAAAAAAAAACATTATCTCCAGAGCGTGAGCCTGTGTATCGAAAATTCTAAAGATATGCTCATTTTAAAATTATTTTGTGATATTGCTATTGAACTGAATTTTGTGGTTTAAGTGCGAAGAAAATGATTTATTTAATAAATAAGGTAAATCACAAAACGTTAAAAAAAACGCCCATTTGGGCGTAATTGTAAAATCTGCAAGCTTTTAGATTTTTTTTAATTCTATTAATTTACTCGCAGACTCGATTTTTATTACTTTAATCGCAATTAAGATTGAGTTTCAAATGCCAAATAACAGCATATTAAAAAATTATTAAGAGTTATAAGAAGTATTCAGAATGTGTGCTTAAATTAAATAAGTTTGTCACAGCTTTTAAAATTTCTTCACAGATACTATATCCTTGATTAAATATGAAAGAAGAAAATGGGATTATGAAATTTTGTAGTATTAATATCATATCGGCTCATTTTCTTTATATGATTATATGCAACAGTCATTTATTTGATTGAACTTTATTCATTACATAACTCAAAGCTCACTTTTTAACTATCTTTTAACAGGTCGTGGATCTTCTCAACGACTTGTACACATGTTTCGATTCAATCATAGGAAACTATGATGTCTACAAAGTAGAAACGATAGGCGATGCATATATGGTTGTAAGTGGCTTGCCCATACGTAATGGTGATCGGCATGCCAGCGAGATCGCTTCTTTGGCTCTGAGGCTGTTGGCAGCCATAGAAAATTTCGAAATCAGACACAGGCCCGAAGAAAGATTAAGTCTGAGGATTGGAATCAATTCTGGTAAGTATGGCTAGCAAAATTCTTACTCTCATTGTAACGCATTTCAAGCCACGGTACTGTAAAAAGATTGTTATACCTTGCTTATCAAAGCTAAAGATATGCCCCGAGAGCCTCACCGTTCCAAATGAAATTCTGTATATTCATATTTTGACCCGTTGTATGTAAATATTAAAGGTGAATAAATGACTGAATAGTGGCCCTTCATAAACGCTTTAAAATAAGGAACATATCTAAGACGGCATACCAACCAGAAACACAAGAGCAACTGCAACAGCAAATTGTGGCTGAGTGAACTGTTGTGTGTTCTTTTGCAATGCAGGTGTATAAATCAGCCGTTATTGAATTCAATTTTGATCAGACCCACTTCAGCGTTTTCGGTGCAGTTGTAAGATTTCACCTTTTTCGCTATAATGCAAGTGACTTGATCTTAGTAGGAAGCCTGGCGACTGGTGAAGAATAACAATTCAGAAGAACGGTACAAATGGCCCTTTAATTCTCGAACTCTGTAACAAAAGGGACAGTACTTCGTGCATACAGTAACACCGACTACTTGCGGTGAGGAACTTATGGATAGTTTAGCAATAAATTCAAAATGGTAAATAATAGTGCTAGACAGCACAATTTACTTAAAGCTAACAGGCTGACTCCGTTTCGCCATAAGTGATTTAATTATAACTTATGGGGAAACCTACGCTGGAGACAAACTGAATAATGCTGTTAATCTTAGTTGCCGCAACTAAGATTAACAGCCGAAGGATAGAATAACAACGTGCTCTAACTAGCGAAATCACACTCTATCAAACTTTCTCGTTTTATAAGGTATTTCTCCCTCCTTAATAGCGTGCCTTCGTGGTGTAGTGGTTCTGCACACTGGGCCGGTATTCCAGAGGACCGTGGTTCGATTCCCGACGAAGGCGGTTGCTAATTTTTCAATCTCTCTTACTCAAAAAAATATTATAATGTCTCTACATGTTCACCTGTTTAAATATTCTCTTCACTTAGCTTAATTTGCATCCTGGCGAGGAAATGTGAGGAGAAGAAGTTCAGAAAAGATACACCAATTAAAATAAGTGGTTATTCAAACTAAGGGAAACACTAAGCTATCAGTTTCCGTATAAACTGAACAGTTTAATAATTCAAAACAAAACATTTCTCTATTTAATTATCAATTATGGGAAAACGTATTTAGCAACCTCCCAAAATTCGTGCTCCAGACGACTACCTAAGTAGCATATGTTTGGAACTGGCCTTGTTTTGGTTGCGTTGTGTTTATCAGCCATTCTTTGCGCATCAGTATATTCTTATTGCTCTTCTTTTTTGAATTATTTAATCTAATAATATAACACGACGCTAATCGCTTTATAAGAAATAACTTAATTGCATAAAAAGTGGATAGGGAAAATCTTAAAACTATGTCCTTGACTTAATACATGTCATTCATTATCTAAATTTGTTATGAGATTTCAATAATTCTAAGTACGTGGCTTTTAATATTGATGTGTTGCTTTATGAGTGAGCTACATTAATGATACTCGGTAGGATTTATATTGTTACGAGTTTTAACATATATATGTGTAAATAATTTTAATGAAATTATATATGAAATTGCGGTGTTTTATTTTTGTTTTTTATGTAATGTAACATGATAATCTTAAGAAGCGAAGCTTTGCCGGAAAAGTAAAAATACAGGGGAAAAGTCTATTTAACATTGAGTAAATGGTTATCTCGCTAAATTGGCGAGAAGTCGCCATACTTGGCGACCATTTGGCGACTGTTTGGTCGGTTCCCTATATAACTGTTACGGCTATTTTAACTAAATAACTGTTCCGTCCAGACGGTATAATGGTTAGAGAGCCTACTGTGGTACCGAAGGCCTCGGCTTCGAATCGTGGAGAAGACACGGATGTTTGTAAATGTATAATGTCTTTGCGGCATGGAGCATTCACTCTAAATACATGGCTGGCCGAAAGTCCTTTCGTGTGGTTCGGTGGTAGGGGAGAGGGGTGGGAGACCACCCACTTTCAATAATTTCGAGAAATGCAAAATACTAGAAATCTCTCAGCGGCCTGAGAGGGGTGAGACCACCCACTTTCAATAATTTCGAGAAATGCAAAATACTAGAAATCTCTCAGCGGCCTGAGAGGGGAGAGGGGTGGGAGACCACCCACTTTCAATAATTTCGAGAAATGCAAAATACTAGAAATCTCTCAGCGGCCTGAGAGGGGTGAGACCACCCACTTTCAATAATTTCGAGAAATGCAAAATACTAGAAATCTCTCAGCGGCCTGAGAGGGGTGAGACCACCCACTTTCAATAATTTCGAGAAATTCAAAATACTAGAAATCTCTCAGCGGCCTGAGAGGGGAGAGGGGTGGTAGGGGAGAGGGGTGGGAGACCACCCACTTTCAATAATTTCGAGAAATGCAAAATACTAGAAATCTCTCAGCGGCCTGAAGAAAACTGTATAATAAGACCGAGAAGAGCATCAGTTTCTCAGTTTAGTAGTTGTTGTTAGTTCAGAGCTGAATTCGGAGTATTGAGATGTTCGTGAAAGCTTTGCATTTTAGATACGCTTTTCATTGCTTTGTATTTAACGATCTTGGTGTTTGAAGTGTAACTGCTGATTGTACTCCGTGATACTATGAGGAGCTGTACGCCTATCTTTTCTTAAAGTTCTACAATGTGAAGTGATTCTTTTCGTAAAATAAATTTTATGAAGCTGTAATCGGTTCTGTCTGCATTCAAGCTATTACGATCCCGTATACACGTAGCAATATATTTTGAATATTATTTTAATTCACACATGTCTTTTCTGATGGGATATGCATAAGAAAGGTGAAAATAATGTTGATTTTATGTTAAGACTCTTTCTGTACTGTTCAAGTAGCAGTAAATGTCCAATGCGTGTTCTTTTGTTTATGTGAAATAATTTAGTTCTATATATATCTAAAATTTCAGGTCCTTGTGTTGCCGGCGTTGTGGGTCTTAAGATGCCCAGGTATTGCTTATTCGGCGACACTGTCAACACGGCCTCCAGAATGGAATCTACAGGCGAAGGTTGCTATCTACCCAAGTGATGTTCTTATTCATCTTCCCTAGTGAATTATACGAATATGTATTTATTGTTTTTAAACTTCGAAGGAGATGTTAAATTCGCTTATTCATTCCATTTTTACAGCTCAGTCATATTAATGTTTTAAGCAAAGTTCTAGTACGATTATTGCTTATAAATGTAAACTATATTTCTTTGAAATTGCTTCAAAATGCGGTTATTTGATACGAATTTCTTTACAGCTGTAACAAGTTGTGCAGTGCGGAAAAAAAATGAGACAGTTCTATATCTCCCTTTCTAGTGGGCCGATTGACAAAATTCAAATTGCGTTTTTCATGTCTCGAAAGCGCGACTTAAGATATATATTAGATTTATATATAGCACTATTCTAACATAGGTATTTTGACACAAAATCGGACTTTTTCTGAGAAACCATACCAATTGTTTTACATATTTCGATTCTACGATTCAAATTATGCCAGACTGCCAAGTTTTGTAAAAATCGTCCGACTAGCTTTTAAAAAATTAGCTCTCAAAATTTTAGCTCCTCAATGTTAATTGAATTTGGCACATATTTATTAATATCTCTTTAATTAAACTTTTAAACTTTTTCTATTCTTTCTTTCACATTTCGAAACTTAGGTTCATTCCAAATAAAATTCAGCCATTTTTTGTGTTTTATTTTTAAAATTTATATTTTAAAAAAATTTTATAAATGTTTCGAAAAAAAATTTGAATTAAAACCTATAAAATTTTACCATCATTTTAAAATAGGTGTAGTTCTAAGCATACCTGAAAAAAATTATTCAAAATTTTTATTCAAAATTCTCTAAGATATACACGAATTTACATATTTTCGCGTATTGAAATTCGGCACCTTTTTTTTGAGCGATAATAACGCCAAATGTGGTTTATGTATTTTTGTTACAATGAATTGCCACAGCTATTTTTAACCTTAAATTCCAAGTAAATTTTTGCGGAGAATTAATTACAGTGTCTCACAAAAGTGATGGGACACTTGTGCTTTACAAAAGGAAACCGTAATAAAATAAATTAAAAAAACATATAAAATTTTTTGTGGATGTGTTTCATACTTAAATTTAGTAACAATTATTACATAACATACATTTTCTCAAAATATTAAAATATTAATTTCATAAAAATACAATTGTTTAGAACGGAGCAAAAAATGGCTCACATAAGTGATGGAACACCATTAGATACTACTACGTACTATGCAACAAAAATCGTCTGAAGTAAGCAATAAAAATATTTTTGGGGTTTTTATTTTTACTCAAAAGCAATTAGCAATAATTTATAAAATCATCTGCAGTATTTCTCTCCAGTTTGTTTTGGAATTTTTATTTTTTTAGCTCTGTGCAGCCATGAATGCTAAACAAAAAGAAACTTTGCCTGAAATCCGAAAATTAGTTATTAATTTGCATATTTAACGTGGAAAATCTATTAGAGAAACTGCTGAAACAGTTAACTTGAGTCATTCAACAGTTTTCAATATCATTAAACGATATAAAAAGAATCATATGTTTCAGAAAGACCTTGCCGACCATCAAAGCTATCCAATGGAATAAAGCGAATTATCGTTAAAAAAAATCCAAGAATGAGTGCTGATAAAGTTGCTGCTGATTTACAAGCATTATATGAAGTAATTGTTAATCCTGAGACTATTAGAAGAGTAATTCGATCTGCTGGATATCACGGTAGAGCAGCAAGGAAAAAATTCTTCGTGAGTGAAAAAAATAGAAAACTCAGACTGGCTTTCGGAAAATCCAACATAAATAAGAATTCTGATTACTGGAATGAAGTTATATTTGCTGATGAGAGTAAATTTAATATATTTGGTTCTGACGGTAGAATCTTGGTGTGGAGAAAACCCAGGGAAGAATTTCGCAAACAGAACTTGGTGCCAACAGTAAAACATGGTGGAGGAGGAGTTATGGTATGTGGGTGTATATCGTCCGCTGGAGTTGGTAATCTTGTTTTTATTGACAGTAGAATGTATCAGTACAAGTATATTGACATTTTAAATCAAAATTTGAAATCTTCAGCACGAAAATTGAACCTTCATAACGATTTTAAATTCTCCCAGGACAATGACCCCAAACACTGCTTTGAACGTTAGACTCTGGCTGCTGTATAACTGCCCTAAATAATGAAAACACCACCACAATCTCCAGACTTAAATCCCATAGAGAATATTTGGCTAGAATTGGAATCAAGAATTCGCAAACACACCATTTCTTCAGAACAACAATTAAAATCGGTGCTTCAAGAAGAATAGGGTAAAATCACTCCAGAAATCACAAAAAAAAAAAAAAAAAAAAATTATACGAATCTATCCCAAGAAGATTAAATCATGTTTTAAAAGTAAAAGGAAATCCAACAAAATATTAAAACTTTTCAAAAAGTAAAATGTTTGGATAAATATTTGATGGAAAAATAAGTGTCCCATCACTTAGCCATTTTTTGCTCCGTTCTAAACAAGTGTATTTTGATTAAATTAATATTTTAATATTTTGGGGAAATGTATGTTATGTAATAATTGTTACTAAAGTATGAAACACACCCACAAAAACTTTTTACATGTTTTTTTAATTTATTTTACTACAGTTTCCTTTTGTAAAGCAGAAGTGTCCCATCACTTTTGTGAGACACTGTATATGAAATTTATTCCCTCACTGATGCGTAATAAAAATTTATTAATACTATATGAAAAGCTATTTTTTTCAAATTATATATGATATTATTCAAATTTTTAACTTTTTTTTAATGTCTTTCTCTCTTCCTTCCTTCCCTTTTTTTTTTTTTTTTAATATTTGTAAGAGTAAATTTTTAACTTCGCCGTGTTACCGTCTGCTACTTTACTTTGCATTTAAATTGAATTGTCTAAAACTGAGAAAGTTCGTTTGATGTTTATTTTCACAATATTTTTAAGCAAACAGGACTTTGAAAGTTTGGGTCATGTCCTAGCTTTAAAAAAATATATACAAGTATAAATTTTTACATAAATCCTCTTAAAGAATGTTTTAAGTAGCAATTTTCTGCCGTGTCGTAGATTATATAAAAAACATGTACTTTAATATAGAAATTATTAAGCTTAAAAATTCTAAATAATACGATTTATATTGTTTGCAGCCGATATAAAAATCGGGCCACTCCGTGGCACAGGATAAGCGCTGCTGGAATGGTTTATTTCTATTTATTCTTATTTAAAACTTTATTTCTAATTAAAATGTCTAGAAAATGAAAAGCTATCTTCAGATGAAACGCATTTGATGTAATTAATATTTTAAAAAATTTGACAAGAATAAAAAATTTATGAAAGTGTAACAATCGAAAAATCTTCATTTTCTTATGATAAGCACTGAAAATAAATGTAGAAGGAAGAAATGTAGGGAGAAAAGGAAGTAACAATTTGAAGGGGATTTTGGCTGTCAGAAAGACCAAGGTGTTTCGAAAAGTTGGATGCTTTTGAATATACTTTCAGAATACTTCAAGTAATTTGGGTTTTCAAAGTGAAAACACTTGCACGTGTACACTAGAAAATATCATTAACTGAGTTTGTGCTAACGGAAAAGACAAAAACGATATCATTGCAGATTAAAGTGAAGAGCGACTGGTTTTCGACTATAGGTTTGTATAAATTTAAATTACGTTATAGAACATCATATAATCATAAACAGAGAATCCCATGATTTTTTGGACGAATTATTTGAATATTCATGAATTTATCCAGTGATATATGTGGATATATGTGGATGTCATCAAGACGTTTTTCTCTTGATGAAACCAGTCTTTCCATTCATCTCCATGCCTTAAAATGCTTATCCTCTAAAGACTGATAAAGGCTCAGACTAAGTACTGATGAAATGGATTGAATTGGATTATTAAATTACGGCAAAGCAAGACTATCTGCCCTAAAAGGCTTTCGTGAAGAACTTTCTAAGAGAAACCAGCTGGCATACACGTTACAATGAGAAAACCACGAAAACGCCCATGCAACCAGCCCATTTTCGAACCCCCGGAGCGAACTACCAGTGTTCAGCGACTTTACCGCTCGGCCGTTACTGGCTTTATGGAATGGAAGGCGATAAATTTATTTAAAATGAATGTCAGAAATACCGAGATGTTTCTAAAAGTTGGATGCTTTTTAATATACTTGCAGAAAGCCTGAAGAAAAAGAGCAAGCCATTAAGAAGAAAAAAATAAATTTTTGCATAAAATTTAGTATTTTTTTTTTTATTTAAAACTTTTTAATCTTATGATATTTGATTCTTGCGATTTCAAAAATAAAATATTTGACTAAAATATGAATAACATTTTAAGAAACTAAATGTAGGATGATAAAATTGTGTAAAAGCAATTTTAATTAATTTTGTAATGTTAAAGCTATTTAAAGCAATATAGGCAAGTCATCCTAAGTTAAAATGTCGGTTATACATCTTTCTCATTTACATATCTTTTCTGAACTGAAAGGCGTTTTAACTGTATTTTCTCTTTTAATATATTCAGTTTTCAGATGCATTGTAGTCTGGAACACAAAGTATTATTCCGAAAGAAACGCAATTCAAATAAATAAAATAAAATCCTGGAAAATTTATATTAATAAATATATTTAAAAATCTCAGTTCGAATGAAAAAATAGTAAATTTGAAGAGACAATGCAACACAAACAATTAAAATAAAAGTCTAAAAATTTAAAAATTACCTAAAATAATAGCTGTGACAAAAAATTAATTATAAAGAAAACTATTTGGAAAAAAAAAAAAAAAAAAGATGCACCTGATATTTAAACTACGCGATTCGAATGGGTAAATAGAAAATTTTAAAACAGTTATTCGAAAGAAACAAAGCAACTTAAAGAATTAAAATGAAATTCGAAAAAGGAAAAAAAAATATCTAAAGTAATAACATAAAAATATAATATAAAGAACATTCATTATTTGAAAGAACGTTGTGATTTTTTTCCCTCTCAAGGAAAAGGAAA